TAGTTTACAGTAGGATATAGACTACATACATCAATGTAGCGCATTTTTGTATTTTCTTGTATTTTTTTTGTATTATTTACTCTTAGTTTTATAGTATTTGTTCTACCCCCATAGAAAGCATCTCTCGGATTAATAGGTCCTACTACATCAATTTCATTCAAGTTTTTATTCAATCTTTTGTATACATCACTGTTTATCCAGTCACATTCCCATTTTTCAACAAGATTATATCCTGCATTTTTTATTATCATATTTTTGTTAGTTGTTTTTTCAAATAGATCCTCCATTGTCTCATTATTTATATTATTAATTATTTCTCCGTCACTAAAACATCTAGTACATCCATGCCAAAAACACATATGATATTGGTATACAGTTTTTAACTTTTCATCAAAGCCGTCAACTCTAACACCTAATATTTCTTTTTCACCACCATTTAAGGCATGACAGATATTTTTGTTATTAAAATGTTGTATCCACATTATAGACTGTTTAGAATAGGTTTCATTTTTCTCTTTATCTAAAACAGCTATAGTGTCTTTTTTTAGAAATGTTGATCTATATATAGCCATACAGACACCTGCTATGGTTACATATTTAAAAGGGTCAATATTAGCTATTTCTAAAAAATCTCCTCTAAATTTCAAACAGCCTCTTCTCAAAATGTCAACATCTGATGTACAATACTCTAAAAGCTCTTTCTTCATGTCAAAAATGTAATTTTCTTGTTTTTTTAGTAAATACCATTCTAAAAATTCTTCTCTTAATTCAGGTTTCATTTGATCAAAACAGTAGTATTTTTTATCAGGAATAGGCCCAATATAATTAGCATTTTCTACAGTATTAAATAAATGAGGAAAAAATCCTTTTTTTAATTCTGATAAACCAAATGTTTTAGGAAAATTTGCTAAGGGACCCTGAATAAAATTACTACTGTCGATAATTTTTAGATTTATTACTGGAATTTTTAAAAACATTAATTTTGAACCATTGTAAGTTGCTGCAGGCTTAAGAGTATTTTCAACACAATATTTTAGTATAAATTGAGAGTCATAGGCTTTCGAATTGTGTGCTATACATGAAAAATTTGCATGTATATTTGAAATTAACCATTTACATAGTTCATCATTTGTGTCAAATTTGTATATTTTACCTATAAAATCAGAAACAATTATTAAGTTTGGAATATGTGTACCAGTTTCTTGTTGAGCCTCATAATCCAAGAATAAATATTTTTCTGTATAGGTACATTTTGATAGGTTTGGTTCTTCACTTTCACCAAAAATCTCATTTGCAAAAGGAAATGGGTATAGTAAATCTAATAATTCTTTTTTATTCAATTTACTATATTGTTTCACTTTATCTTCTTTTGCTTTAATTCTTAGTTCTTTAAGATTACAATCTTCAATATTTTTAATATTTTCATCCATGTTACCCTTACATAAGCAAATTTCTCTTTTACATTTACCTCCTCTCTGACTAAGCCATTGAATGTAACATTTATGTTTTGCTATTTCAACTTCTTTCCAACAATTTATACATTTTTCTATTCCACATTTGTGTTCATCACTTCTCATGCAGATTTTATTACAAACCCGACATTTAAAAACTACTTCACAAACTTTCTGATGACTTTCAAGACATTCTTGATTAAAACAATATCTATTACATTTTTCACAGTACACTCTTTCCTTTTTACTTAAATGTTTAAGTTTTTTACATAATAAACATAGCTCTTTTTTATCTTTACATTTATGTTTATCTTTGTCACTATATGGTGTATCGCATTTATCACAATAATAAGAAACGCCATAAAATCCTTTAATTTTAGAAATGACATCAAAGTGATTACCTGTTTTAAATAAATAGATTTTTATATCTCTATCTATTCCTTTATAGATTATCTTATTTTGATTTTGAGCACATATAATATTTATTTGAATTTTTAAAATACATTCGACATTATAAATATCATCTAACGTAAAGCCTTGTGAGTTATATGTTTTTAATAAACTACATAATTTTAATGCAAGTTCTTTTTGAATTGATCTACCCTCTTTAAGATATTTTATTTTATTTTCATTTAATTCTTTACCTAAGATATTTTTTGTTTTATTAGCAGAATATTCTATAGAGTTATACTCTGTTCCATTTAAGAGCGCACCGCGTTGGCGCAACCAAATGAATCGCCGAGCGACGTCCGGACCTCCCTGGACGGGTCTATTCGCTCTGTGATTGGTCGCTGGTAGTCGGCTGTAATCGGCGTCGTCGACGATGTTGCCGCCGTCGCCAACGCCGCCGTGTATACAGGGAATTGTAGGAACAATGCGCTATCGCCTATTACAATGCGCTACTGTGTATTATACTGCGCTACCGTGTATTACATGGCGCTACCGCGTATTACATAGTAAAATAATACACTTTTTTATTATTATTTTTTTTTAAAAACATATTGAACACACAAACGTTTTTACTACCGATACTACTGCAATTTTTTTTATTTGTGTACGTTTTCTTATTTATTTTTATATGCATCTTGATAATATATAATAGTAATATTAATATATTTTAATTTTTTGTATAAATAGGATAGGGTAGATTATAAAGAACAACATTTAATGGAACATATTTTGTTATGTATTCTTACACATTATCATAATTACACTTAGTAAGTTTTTAAACATTGTCAAAGTTATTTACAAAAAATTAAAAAGTAAAAAACTTAAATAAAAATTACTCATCATCACTAGAGAATTCTGCTTCTGAAGATGTATCGCCAACCGTCATTGTCAAACTCTGTGTTTCTGCAGACAACACGTCGTCTATAATGAAATCGATGTTGTAGAATTTTTCTTCTTCTTCCATCGTGTGTTTAACGAAATTTTTCCACATATTATTTTTATCCACTCTCTCTATACCTTCTAATAACAAAGTTTTGACGTCGTTCAGTTTGTAGCTGGTGTTGTTTTTTTTTACATGATCTTTTACGTTGGCCCACGCCAATTCGATGGGGTTTAACTCACAATGGTACGGCGGGAGTCTTAAAACTTTCTTGTTGTGTGTTTGGGCAAGTTCGTCAATTACATATTTTTCGTATTGTGGTTTTATTCTCTTAACTATATCAAGTAATTCGGTGATCACCATAGGTCGATCAATAACCTCGCCTTTTTCTTGTAACCATTGTATGATATCTGCTTTTCTTGTTGTAGTATTCGGAATTTTTTCTGCTTTCATTGAGTGGTACGGTGCATTGTCCATTACAATTACACAGTTATCTTTGAGTAGTGGTAATACGTTTGTCATCCAGTTATAAAATACGTCACCGTTCATTTCTTCATGGTAGTCTGTCGTTTTTTTGGACTCGAAACATAAAAGACCACCTGGCACGAACCCATCTTCTGACCCAATGTGGAGAACAATGAGTCTCTTGCCCTTGCCAGATGGATTCTGAGACCCCGTTGTGAGTCCTCGTAGAAATGCGTCACGAGGCGATTTGATTGTCTTGTCTACCCACGTTTTACTTGTACAATCGCCTGCGTTGACCCATGTCTCGTCAAGATAGTAGATATGTCGCCCTTCTTCACGATATTTACGAATATCTGCCAAATACCGTCTACGCCACAAAATAAGTTCGTCCTTTTCTAAAAGGGCGCTGTTGCGACTACGTTTTGTGTATACAAAATCCATACATTTCAACATACGATACAAATTCGTCCTCGAAATTTCTGGCAAAGTTTCGTCATTATTTACAGCAGTTCGTATTTTGTCTAATGTTGGTATTGTTTTATTAAACCAAAAAGAATGTACATGCAAACGCACTGCATTCATTTGTAGATCGTCAAATTTTTCTTTAAATGATATCCTTGTTCGATTTTTGCACGGAGAAGTCACGGTTTTGTTGGAATTATATTCACTGATGACGTTTGAAACTGTCCGTTGTCCAACTCCAAGTAATTTCGAAATATATACACGAGCGTCTCTAACAGTTACGTCCGGATTTTTTCTCAATTCCATCTTGTATGCATTCACAATCATAATACGTTGAGATGATGAAATAGGCTGGAATAAAATACGAAAAAAAAAATATGTTAAATGATGTATA